ATGCTCTCAAGAAAGAGAGGAAACACAACCACAACAAGAAAGTGAGGTATTACCTGATGCAAATCCTCGAAGAAATATGGAAGATCGACAGGGACTGTTCTTAGTCAGGCAACTCAAACCAGAGCACAGACAGATCCTCCATGATATTACACTCCAAGGCCAAACAATCCTCACAGAAGATGATCTTGAAGGAAGTCGACCCCTTGAACGTGGTGACATAAGCTTCTTCTCATTATGGTTGATGATGTCGGCATTATCAGATGCTTCTTTTTCAACATTTATGGAGCAGTATGCACCTATGATGGGTTATGAGATCTCTTACGACAAGTACTATGAGTTCAAACTGGATATTGACAAAGTTCTCAAGGACAATGAACACCTTGGCGCAGAAAATTTCTTTGGAGCAGAGGATCCTCAGATGGTGGACGATGATCCAGAGACTCCACTTCCAGATCTTCAAAGACCAGGCGCAGGTGATCCTGAGTACAAGCATACCATTGAAAGTTTGAACATTGAGGACAAACATATCATTTTGGAAACTGATGATGACAAATTGGTTGAGTGTACATTGAAATGGATCAGTATGTGCAATCAGAATGTTCAACGAAAGATCAAGGAAAGTTTTGTCAAACCAGAAGAACGACAAGAGGAAGAAGAAAAAGAAGAGGATGAAGATGAGGAGATTGCTGTCGAAGAAGAAGAAGAAGAAAAAGACACACAGGAGCCACATGTCCCAGCTGAAGGCTCTTCAGAGAAAGAGGAATCAGCTCCACCTGAACGCTCCTCAGAAAAGGAGGAATCAGGGGAGAAGAAAACAGACATTCAAGATGATGAGACAGCTCCTGAAGTGAAACCTGCAATTCGACTTTACTATGGTCAAGATATCACTGGAAACGAAGATGATTCAATTTTTCGAAAATTGAAGGATTGTTTTTCAGATGGTTACCATGGTGAATGGGCAGGATTTTACAACAAAGGTTATCCAGCGTCTTCGAAGCATCGACATATGTTTTGGCATGTTAAGTACAGGAAGACCATGTCTCCACATCATGATTTTTGGTACCATCTTACAGATGACCAGTTGATGGTTGAGTACATTGCCAGACACAAGAATCAGGATCCACAACTAGAATTACAAGAACTTAATCAGCGCATTGAATATGGTTGTAGTGATCCAAGGATGCATCCTCTTCATCAAGACAAAGCAGAAAGATCCTCAAAAGAAGCAGAACAGAGGATTGATGACGATTTTGGAAATCTCACAAAGGTACTCCAAGATTACGTTGAGGAACACAAGGTCTTGCCTTACTGTATGATCTTGCATAGCTTGGCTTACAGGTATTTAGGTGGAGGCCTATCAGACCCAACGTACAAGGATGCTGAATTTCCATACAGATCCTCTCCACAGATAACAGCAATGTTTTGGAATTTGGGAAACTGGTGCAGAAACAGATTTGAAAAATGCCCGGTTCCAGAAAGATTTCAACAATTCATTCCACACATTGACTACACTATCGATGAGGATCATGAAAAATTTGATGAAACCAAATCACAGTTCAACAATTACTTCATCAATGTCATCAAGAACTTTGGAGGACATCTTTTCATGAATTGCGAGGCTGGTTCGTTGTATCCTCACAGAGAAAGACTCGACGAGGTTGACTTTAAAACTTGCTTCAATGACTATCATGACTTGATGGTGGCAGCTCGCCTTGGAAAGGATGGCTATATCAAGCAAATTGCTGGATATCACACAGATGACAACGACACACGAGTTCGACAAGTCTCATGGGCAATCTTTGAAGTATCTTGGGGAAAGACAAAGGATCGAGATACAGATGAGATTGTTGACTTGACAAGAGCTAGGATGAGAATGACACGTGTGTGCGTTTATCACGTCGGACAGAAGTATGCATCAGACTCTGCTGGGATTGTTGGTGAGAGCTTAGCTGTTATGGCTTTTGAGTGTGCCAGATATCAAGTTGACTTCATCGCAGGTGATGGAAACAAGGCATGCTATTACAGCACACCAAAATCTCCAGGTGTCCCTACATATCAACACAGCCTTATCCAATTCTGGATTAACAGAATGGTAGGTGTTGCAACACAAGCCATGCGCAAGAATTTTGATCCAACTTGCCCTCCAATCAGGGTCAAGCATTTCATTTCTTGCAGTTATCGTGACTTGGATTTTCTTGCAACGCACTTGGATGGCATTACAACAGCAACATACACCGACGAGCTCATGAACAAGACAAATGGTAAAGGTGATTGTTGTATGTTAACAGTTGTTGAGTGGGGTCATTCACGTTTGATGTGTGAGGAACACCCAGAAGACTTTGAGGATGAAGATCACATGAACTATGTGGGTGAATTTTACTTCAAGGTAAATGAAACTTGCTTACATGGTGATCACAACATCTTCATGGTTGCTCCAAATGATCGCGATGCTCATAATCCAATTCTTATCCATCTTGATCCTTCTGATATGTCATGAATGAACGACATCATTACAAACAGGCCTACAAGAAGAAGCAATATGCTGATTCAAGAAAGGAAAGACAGAAGGAGAAAAAGAGAAAGGCATATGAAGATCAAGCATCGACGTATCAGGGCAACACAGAGTGGGGTGGATCCTCATCTTCAGCGTCCAGACCATGGAGATCAAGTGAGTGGCGATGAGTGAGTGTACACTTCTTTAATTGAAGATAACACAGCATGAGAAGCCTTGTACAGTTTTTCTGTGCGTTCAACTTATTTCACACAGATGGCATATACTCTTTTAGATAGAGATAATGCCACAAGTGTCTGAACTTCAATTTAATGTAAAATAGAGACTCTTGTAAATAGAGATACTATATACATTTATCTCCATGAATCATCCGGCGAGCAGACCACTCCGAATGGAGCGAACTTCAAAAATTTACCAACTTCGATTTCAGTCCATTGTTTGCTTGAATGAGCAACTTTGGAGATCCGCTATTTCCGTTTATTTCGTGATTTGGTCAATTGTTTTCGTATGACCTGAATTTCTGAATCTTGCGAACCCGAACTTTTCAATTCGAACTTTCACCGGTAGAGCAAGGCATTTTGCCTATGGAGAGACCGTGCGCGAAGCACCATTGGTCGCTACTGGAAAAATTAGCGAATCCGCTGTTCTTTTTCGACATGTCCTTAGGACATTCGCTGCTTTCACGTGTTTTTCAATTCGAAGCCACTGCGTAACTCCGGTTTCTTTTGCTATTTGCCATTGTGTAGAGAAGTCAGGAAGATACTCTTAATACCAATTGGGTACGGCAAGGCGTAGTGCTCTACTCATTGCTTTTGAATTTGTGCCTGTGTTTTTGTTTCGACCTAATACCTACATAGGTACATGCATGAGTATTGAGCACATTTATATGCGCCCTTCAAGGCTCAAGAAAGAGGTATATAGAGTAACCCTGTAGACAAGCACGGACCGGCAACAGGCTGAGTAAAACAAGTGCTGTCATTGGGGAAGACGCCTTAGCTGATCTTGAAGTAGACGCTAGGGCCCCTCTTCACCCCCTCCCCCCCCTGTGGTGTGGTGGGGGTGTGGTATGGTATGTTGGGTATGTATGGTGTGTATGGTCGGTCTGGTATGGCATGTTTGGAAAGTATGGTATGTTTGGTATGTATGGTAGGTATGGTATGTATGGCATGAGTGGTTGGTATTGTATTGATGGTAGGTATGGTATGTAAGTCTGTTGGGTATGGTATGTTTGATATGACAGTATGTATGGTCTGTATGGTATGTGTGGTTACTATGATGGGTATGGAATATTTCCTATGTAAGGTAGGTGTGGTATGTATGGCATGTATGTTTGCTATTGTATGTATGGTAGGTGTACGTAGGTGTGGTAATTACATTTCATATGTATGGTATGTATGGTATGTATGAAAGATATGATAGGTATGGTATGCTCGGCATCATTGACATGTATGGTAGGTACGGTATATGTTAAACACAGGTAGTGTTGTCAGAGTACACAGGTAGTAAATAGGAAGTAGATACAGTAGATACATAGCACATGTATATATGACTATAGGTAGCACGTAGGTACTTTGAAGGAGTATGTGTGCTACGTAGGCCGCCCAAAAGGTAGCATGTATCTAGTAAATGCGAGGCTGGTAGTCAGAAATGCTGCAAAGACCTAGCAAATACGCAGCTGGACCTCAGAAATGCTGCCAATAGCTTGCAAATAGAAGGGAATTGGGGCTGCTACCTGGGGACCCAACCCATTGGGGGGGGGTGGAGAGACGGAGGACGGGACCATATATATATACGATATATGATGTGTATATACATATATATATATATATGTGATATATATAATATATACATACGATATGAATGATATATATATATATGATTTATATGTGTATATGTAATATAGAGAGAGAGAGAGAGTCGTGGGGTGGGGAGGGTTGAGGGTACGTATGGAGTATGCAGACCGTCTTTCTGTAGTATAAATGGGTAGTTCATAGGTACATTGTAGAAGCGCGTGTAGCTGGAAACAAATGAAAAACACGTGTAATTAGTGTTGTAGGTAATAAATAGGAAGAAGTAGCATATATGTGGATACAGTATAGGTAGAACGTAGGTACTTTGAGGAAGTATGTGTACTATGTAGGTCGTCCAAAAGGTAGCATATACCTAGTCAATGAGAGGCTGGACCTAAGATATGCCACAAATAGCTTGCAAATAGAAGGGCAGGGGTGCTACCTGGGGACCCATACCTTTGGGGGGGTAGGAACACGGAACACGAGACCATATACCACAAAGAGTATATATACATATATATATGTATATAGTGTATGTGAAATCCCTCTTGCAATTACCCAGCAATCACCCACCAGACAAATGATATGTTGTACATTGTTAATCATTTTTATACATGGTCCAAGCCATGAAATATGGTGGCTGTAATCCATTGTATCAACAGATTCTGGGCCACTGGGCCCCATCCAAGCCGAGTCACGCTGTCTTCTTGTTGTCCTCTGACACCAAGCGCTCCAAGGGTGACTGCACGCGCACTGGACGTTGAAAGTGGATTTGTTTCAGCTGGTTGGTGGTTGAGCCCTACCCCTCTGAAAAATATGAAAGTCAAATGGGAGTATGATTCCCAATATATGGAAAAATCAAAAATGTTCCAAACCACCAACCAGTCAGAATGCTGTTCCTGGGGATGGATGGTCAGTGGGTTTGAAAATACCAACAGGAATGCATGTAGCACCAAGACATACCAAGACTATATTATTAATATTATATATATAATTCATGTCAATCATCTGGCCCGAGATTCTCAAAAACTGACTCAAGTTCTGGTCAACATCCGGAAATCCCAGATATCAATGTCGAAAACCAGGAGTGAAAAATGCGCGGTGATGCCACTCAAATATGATCACGTATGCTGGGGCTGTTGGTAAAAAAACAACAGGCCCATTTTCATCACGTTTCAGAGATCTTGGTGTTGCTGAAATTATCACAATTTCTGTTGGTCTGCTATCCATCTTTGCTGGTCTGTCTTCATTTATACTTTTGTTGGTGAAATTCCCATGTGTATGATGCTTCATGCCCATGTTTGTTGGTGAAAAGTGTGGTTGAATCCCTAACTCATGGCCAAGCAAATATACCCACTGAAAAAAGGCGATATATGATCAATGGTCATTTCAGGAACCGATTTATTGGAGGTACCTACCAAAAAAAGGCCTACTCTTCAGGGCTAAATTTCAGGGAATATCTCCACCATTCATATGGCCTGAAATATGGTGCAGTATCTCCATTTTGGGTCCCGAAATTTCCATCAATGTTATAACATTCATGTTTAGTAGGATATCTGTATATTGTGTAAAACATTGGGGGATAACATATTGGAAACTATGTTATATCTAACTATGTTATAACATATTGTGTATATTTGTCGCAAGATTATCATTTGGGGGATAAACCAACCCACACCCATATCTATACTCCGCTTTGGTCTGAAAACCTTGTACCCTTGAAATCCAATGGTGATTTATCCACCATATACCAACTATATCCCTGTACCACCATCATTTTCCAAGGGTTTATCCACATTGAGGATATCCCGTGGTATCCCACAGGAACCAGGTATTTTTTACCCTCCAGTAAAATAACGCTTCGACCTTCCAGGGCTTGGAAGATGCGTTTCCACGGAAAAATTGAGATTTTCAGGGTCGAACTGTTAATTCACCAGAGGTTAATCCTGATATTCCCTATTTTCAAATGGCCATCGATGCCCATCAGCAATCTTCAGACAAGTCGCCTGCGGTGCTTTCAGCAGGCTTGCAGTTGTTCCACCACTTGACCTACAGCTGATTTCGTCTGGAAGTGGATGAAACTCCATGAAACTTCATCATTAACCATCTGGTTATTTAACACAGCCATGGAAAATCACCAGTTTTAATAGCTAAACCATCTATTTCTATGGGCCATGGCTTCCATGGCGAACTGTAACAGTCATAAAATCACCAGGTCACCAGGTGATCTGACTCGATTTTATCACCCGTTTCATAGGTACGTCATACTGTTTACCCTCTGGTAATTTAACATAGCTATTGAAAATGGCCATTTATAGTGGATTTACCCATTAAAAATGGTGATTTTCCATAGTTATGTTAGTTTACCAAAGGGTATCATCTATAAATGGTATAAATGGTCCGTAGCTATGCTAACCAGATGGCAACTCAACTTCCACTCCGTACAAAGGGGTTTTGTGAACACACCTTCGAAACACTTTAGATACAAACTGAGAGAAAAAGATCTTGATATGGCGAAGGGTGCCCAGAATCTTCTTCCCAAAACGATCTATGGGGGTTTCCATAAATGTGGGCACCTCCAAATGGATGGTTTACTATTTGGAAAATCCCAAAATAAAGTGGATGATTTAGAGGTATCCCCGTTTCAGGAAACCTCCAAATACAACTTTTAGATCCGCAAGTAGTTCCAAATCATGATCAGTTTTGTGAGTTGGTACCTGGTTTGGCTGCGTTTTCCTCAAAACACCTATCTCATATGGTTTGATATACATGATATACCATTACATCCCCGTAAAGCTGGGCTTATATCCCAATGTTTGCCGGATATATATATATATATATGTATATATATATATATGTGTATATTAGTATATCTCTCAACTATGTCCATTTCTGGAGAGACCCACATTTTCTTTAATACATTGGTATTCCATGGTCTAGAAAGCATGAGTTTCCTCATAAAAGATCCATTTAATTACATTGTTTGGGGGAAAAAGAGTATCTCATATTGTTTGTGCTATGTCTCATTAGATCAAAAAAATATCCCCATTGTATGTTTGTCGCTTCCAATTTGTGGCGGCTAAATTATCTTATTTGGAGGTTTCCAATCCGTTGGGGTACCCCAAATCATCCAAGTCATGGATGACCACTTTAGTATTGAAACAACCGTTGTTTTGGGATCCCCCATTTTAAGAAACCCCCATTTCCAGTCAAAGCCATTACCATATTGAATTGTTTGTTCTATATCCCATTCTATGAATAAACATATCCCCATTGACGAACAAATTGCTTCGAAATCATATCGCAAACATTGTTGAGTCTACAGGATGGGGCCCTATAGTTAGCTAAGTTGGTGCAAATAACTATAATAACAATAGTGTATGATACTTGTAACTATATTTAGATGGGGTTGTGTTCACCAACTTATAACTGGAGGGCCCCATCCTGTAGTAAGTCTATAGAATCTTGGACTCCCCTTGGGATATCGCCTTCCACACTTTCCAAAGAACCGCGGTTCTTCCATGGTCCCCACAGAACGGCCGGCCTCGCTTCCAAATCGTGCAGAGCTGATGGAACTGGTCGTGCAGGACGAACCATTGGACCTGTCAGGGGCCGGCCTGAGCATGACTTAACCAACAAATATCTGGGTATATTACAATATATTACAATATATTACAATATATTACAATATATTACAATATATTATAATATATTACAATATATTACAATATATCATAATGTATTACGATATATTACAATATATTACAATATATTATAATATATTACAATATATTACAATATATTATAATATATTACAATATATTACAATATATTACAATATATTACAATATTGACAATATTGACAATATTTCACTGACCTGAAATGTTCGGTGATTTTGGGATAGTTTCCCCTTACTAACCATGATTCCAGTGAGGTTGCAGCGAGGTCGTTATAATTTACCCAACCAAAAGCTGACTGAAGCAAGAAAAATGCTGGTATCATGGGATGATGAAAATATATCACTGCAATTTATCTTACTGGTGCTAATTAAACGTAGGGAATGAATGGGAATGGGGGTTGCTGGGATGATTATTACTAGTGATTATGGATCATTCCCGAAAATACCCTGCGTAAAACGCACCAGTAAGTAGCCTCTGTTTACAACTACCAAGTATGGTTACAACTGTCGGAATTTGGAGGTGTTTTTAAGCCAGCACTGACTTGGGCAATAGGATCCACCATATCCACCATCCCCAATGACTTTCCATAAATGGGGGGTATTCCTTTAGTAACAATATCTAGGATGTCATGAAAAACGATGGAATCTCCAAGCACATCTGCGACAAAAAATCACCCACTGACAAAGCCATGTGGCACCCCCTGGAGATCAGTTCCAGCCTACCGAACTCGATTTACTTCCGGGCGAGCGGAGATCTCAGCAGTTTCGGCAGTTTCCGAAGAGCGGCATTTTTTTGGGAGGGGGATCTGATGAAAACCTCGATCCCGAGGGTCATAGCTGATGAAGCAACACACCCATGTTGAATCCCAAATGCACGATGAACGTAAGCCTTATTGGAAAGTCCTGAAAATCCAAGCCATATCCAAACCTAACCTGTGAATTGCCCCCATTGGTTTACCCTCCAGTTGAATCAAACGTGGCAATGGAAAATCCCATTGGAAAATCCATTTACTGTAAATGAAGGTTTTTTTCATGGGAAAGTCATCGATTTCCATGGTATATCGGGATCTCCAACTACCCAAGGCCGACTCAGCGGCTTATTATCCAAGGGACAGCCAATGTATAGAGACCAAGAGACCCCTAGCCACAAGGCAATCTCTAAGATACTCAAGCAACATCCCATCATGTTTCTCATAGGGATAATCTCCACAATCATCCCATAAATGTAGGAAATTATACACTATATATATCCCTTTGTGGGGTGTTAATCTCCAAAACTACAACCGGCTATTTAACATAGCTATGGAAACGCTTCATTTACAGATGATTGATCATAAATTTCCCTATCAAACATGGATCACCATGTGTCCACGGCTAAGTGAAACTACCATGTCGTATTCCAGTTCTCCATGATTCATCCATCAGTGTTGCTTATACCGTTTTACCCTGTTATCAACAATTCTTAACAATTATTAACCATTAACAATCAGTGACAATTATTAACACATATCAAAATATACCCTAGGCTATTCACATCACTCAAGCTTTTCCAAAATTATGTCAATGGCCATTCCAGGAACCGATTTATTGGAGGTACCTACCATAAATTGTTGGCCTATCCCCACCATTCATATGGCCTGAAAAATGGTACGTAAACACGTACCTCCATGTATTGGATCCTGAAAATTCCATTGATGTGATGGGATCCCATGTTGATCCCATCATTCCGTCGCGCCGGGCGACCAACAGGCCGTGCAGGAGAAGTAAGTGGAGAGGGAACCTGGTGCGGATGGGGCCAGCACTGGGGCGGTAGTATCAAACAACTGATGAAAATGATGGGGTAGGATCTATTGAATCTATTGGGATTCATTTGGATATTAAGAAAAAAAAAACAAGACATATTGGAATGATGTAAGGAGAAATATATTGGAATTTCTTGAGATTGTTTTTCGGAATTCTTGGGAGTTCTCGGGATGAGAACTCCCATTTTTAAAATGGTTGGTTCCACCACCTGCAATTTTTGGTGTATGGGGATGGCCGATAACTGTGGAAAAGAAAAGGGCTTTGTCTAGTGAATAGTTGATTCACTTGTTAATGGAAGTTTCATTAATTGTATGTACAGAATTTCTCAAGGCATCCTCACAAGATTCAGCATTTGCAGATAATTCAAATTCCAGTTTGAACATGCCCAAGATACGAAGGATAAACCTAGGTAAAAGCATGTGATAGCCAATTGAGGATACTGTACCCTTGGCCATTGATAATCTAAACCTCCAATCTTCCCCAACAGCACACAAAAAGTCATTCGCGTCTTCCAACATCATGTTCCTTTCTTTCAGTGCATCTCTTTTTTTCAAAAATCCAGAGGAAACCATGACTGGTTGGTGGTTTCAACCTACCCCTCTGAAAAATGATGGAGTGCGTCAGCTGGGATGATTTTCCATTCCCATCTATGAAATGGAACATCCAAGCAGTTTTTCTTAAAAATTTTCCACCGGTTTCCATCGGTGTCCACCTCGCTCTGCATCCAGACCTCCAAGGGCCCAAAGGAACTCATGATGCCCTGTCCCTGCGATCAAATCCCCCGCAGGAAATGGTGGAAACCGCTTAAAAACCCGCTTTCCGACGGTGCCATGATGGGGTTTCCCCGGTGGATGGGAAAGATGCGGAAAACCCTGGGGAAAACTCACAATAGATGTGGAAAACCCCAGTGGTTTCTATAGGAAAATGATCTAAAAAAAATGGTGGGTCAATTTTCCACATGCTACGAGTACCAGTAGTTTACACCACAGGGTCCACTGAGTTGAAAATCACAGGTGAAAACCGACTTGCCAAGGTCTCAGAAATCCGAGCCATTTTGCTTCATCTTGCCATGCTTAATCTTGGATACCCTGTAAAAAAAAATAGTGGCCAAGATTAACCACCGGTGGCTCATATATATATATATGTATTTTTTTAATATGTGTGCGTATGATATGATATCATTATATACCATTTAAATATTAAATGGACCTAGTATGTTAACCAATGGTACACATTGGTTGCGACCAAAATTGACCTTTATTCACGCCATGAATAGGTACCAGTGGGAGTCTGTTGCAAATATGAATAATACCAGTGGGAATAGCAACAAAAATTAAAGAATTGACCTAAAAATACATAATGTTAAACCTAGATGGTTACCATCTGGTTATTTAACATAGCCATGGAAAATCACCATTTTTAATAGGTAAACCATCTATAAATGGGCCATGGCTTCCATGGCTATGTTAAATAACCTAGATGATTACATAAATCCTGGTTGATGAAGAAATCGGGTGTCCATGATCAACAGCCCGATCAACATTCATCCGGGGTTAACATTACCAAATATATCATCTATGAGTCTATGATTAAGAAAAATCATGATGGCATAATGTATATTATATATAATCACTATATATCACAATCCCAATAAATCCTAAACAATCCCTATTTTCCCAATATATGGGTTTGTCTGCAAATAGGGTCCCCAAAAAACAAATACTTAATCATCATTGTTCCCATTTAAATTGCCATTTTGCAAACATATCCCATGTTCAAACATCCAAATGGGATTTACTCATGCTCAAATCCAGATGGTTGATTGTTAAATCACCATATTTGACCATATTTCACTATCTTATTAATTCATTTAAACATATATATATACATATATATATATACATATCTATATATATATTGTATATATATATATATATTGTGTATATATATATTGTATATATATATTGTATATATATATTGTATATATATTGTATATATATATTGTACTGTATATATATTGTATATATACACATATATACATATAATCATATATATATATAATCATATGTCTAATCATGTGTATATATATATACATATATATATATATAGTCATGTATATATAATCATATATAAATATAATCATATATAATCATATATATAATCATATGTGTATATATATATTCATATATACATATGTATAATCATAAATACATAATCATATATATATAATCATATATATATATAATCATATTTATATAATCATATATATATACAATCATATATATATACAATCATTTACATAGAAACATATATATATATATATGTAATTTCAAATAATCTCCATATCATCATTCACCAAGTTCTTAGCGCTTAGCGGCCTCTCCACTTGGCGCCGCTTCGGGCAGGAGACGTAGCTCAGGCCTCAGCTTCGATACCAGTTGGATCCAGTTGGTCAGAAGGCTTTACTACCATGAAAACTGGTTGATAACCAACCAACTGGTTTATAAGCCACATATAACTGCGGATTGTCAATTAATAACTGCGTGTAGGGGGTGAGAGATCAAAATGATCAAGACCCTTACAGCCCCTTCTGTTCATATCAAAAGTTTACATCAAAATACCTGGTAGTTATGGATGGTCATCTGCCTAAAAATATTATCTATATAAGTATTAATCCATAGCCATATGGAGATATCATGGGATGTAATTAAATTAGGATGTAATGGGATATGTATATATGTATATGTATAGAAATACCCCCAATTTTGTACCATTTGACCAGGGAAAAAGAGGTCTTAAACCATTGCATTTTAGGGTGAGCCCTATTTTCAGATACAAATTTGGAGGTCAAAGAGCAAAGTTTCTGTGCAAAGGCTCGCTACATGTTGTATTCATTGAATGGCTGGCTTCACTTTCGTTTTTGTGCAGGAAGAATTTGCCAGAACCTTGCCTCAAGAAGGGTATTCAGTTAGGGCATTCAGTACATTGACTATCATTGACTAATGTCGCACCAAATAGAAAACAACACCTTCGGTGACTGAGATAAAAAGCATCTCCCTCTTATTGTTGATCCAATATAATTATTCTTGGATGCGTTTCACCCTCATTTGTTTGTGTCACCTCAAACCGCTGCCATTGCGGCTTGACCGATTTTGAGTCAGTGTGGGCAATGTCCACAGCCTCTCTAAGGGGATATCAAGCATTACTCCACCAATGAACAAAACATGTCTGCATCCAAAAAAAATAAGATTGAAAAACATTAAAATTATAGTAATCGAAAAAATGAAAATTAGTAAACCCTATACTAGATTCTAGATCTTTCACCAATTTAGGAACTGAACCTACTAAAGATCAAATCACAAATCCTACTAAAAGTAACAATCCTAGTGACTTAGTGAACATGGTCCTACTAGAAATAGTTGACCAATCCTACTAAAAAGTGATAATCCTAGTCTTAGCGAAAATGTTTTGAACCAAAAAAACTCATCACTACTAGCTCTGGGCCCCTCGCCACGGCAAGCGTCCAGAGGGCTCAGGGAAGGGCTCCTGGCGGTCCGAGGTTGGAACGGGAATGGGTTAGATACTGCGAAATATATGGAGGTTTCATCCCCAAGTCACCATAGGTTTCAATACTAACATGGTCATCCATGACTTGGATGATTTGGGGGTACCCCCATTTTAGGAAACCTCCATAGAACTGACCCCAATGACTTGGGAAACCTCCACAGGAAGATCATGGAAAATCTATGGGATGAGGAACTTCACCAACAACCATCAACCCACCATTTTTTTGGGAGAAAATGGTCATGAATCATGTCAGTTTTAATCACTTTTGGATGTTGAAAATCTCTGAATATGATGGTTTGATGCATCTTAATTTACCCTCAGAAAGGCGATACGGAAGCATTTGATGGCTTGGATGTTTCTACCTAAGTGGGATGCTGAGATTAGAGTAAGTCTCGCCAAGTTCTTCCGTCCAATGTAGAACCAGCCAATATTCTTGGTCAACATCATTGTTTAAAAAAGCTCTTGATAAAACAATAAGACCATGAAAAAACAATTAAAACACTATGAAAAATGTTATATCACATCCAAAAAATATATATATAATCCACATAAAATCATATATAAAACCATACATCTATAAAAATAGCTGGGATTGATGGATGTGAATAACCCACTAAAAATGGTATTAATAGGTATTGATCCATACATCTATATATCCCACTCAACGGGCCACCCCGCCTCAATTGAGACGTCGGGCCACCAGCAGCTGTTCAATGGCACGCAGACCGCGGCGAAATGCTCCACGTTCACCTCAGATTCTCAGATGGGGATGGGAGATGAACTAAATGAATGGTGATTTTTATGGTGATTTAATGGTGGTTAATGTGATTTAATGGTGATTAATGGTGATTTAATGGCTTTTAATGGTGATGAATGGTCTTAATAGATCTCCAACCATGATGATTTAATGGTGATTTAATGGCTTTTAATGAGATTTAATGGTGATTAATGGGTTTTGATTGACCCTCTGGTAAACGTTTACAGTTTGCGAACTGGAAAATCACCATCGTTAAGTTCGGGTTTCATCAACGAACTTTCTATGTGCCAATAGCTATTTTGACATAACCAGAGGGTATATTAATGTATATGGAATACCCTCTGGTAAACGTTTACAGTTCGCTATTGAAGCCATGGCCCAGTCGAATTTTGGTGATGTTTTCCCAGTCGAAACCATGGTGATTTTCCATCGTAACAATCCAACTCCTGGAATCCAAATTTTCTGGGAGCCAATGGGAGATGAAGCAACTAGGAATCCAAGATGATGTGGGCAACTATATAACCAACTATTGTTGGTATTAGGTGCTATAAAAACCAACTATAACCAACTAGGAATCCATAATTTTTCTGGGATAAAAACCACAAAAATGTGGGCAGCCCAGGTTGTAAACCTAGCATTTTTGTGGGGATGGTGTCATGTGGACCACGAAAATGTCGTCACTTTGGGGATGGTGACTATGATTGAACCAATCCAATCCATGGAATATAAAGGGATTATAATGGGACTGTAATGGAAGTCTAATGGGATTTTATGGGATTACAATGGGATTTAATGTGATTACCCTCTGGTAAACTGTCACAGAACTATGGAAAATCACCATGAATTATATGGGAAAATCCACTATTTCGACTGGGCCATTTTCAATAGCTATGTTAGTTTACCAGAGGGTAATATGAAATAACTATATAATATTCAACATGGCATATGTAGCAACAATGTACTAGTCTATACTGTCAATGGAATATGGAATACATTATTGGTACATATGAATATATGGAAGAGGAGGGTATTCATGGAAGGTTAGCTCTGAAATTCAGTGGGAAGATTATCCAAATTTTCCGGAGCGGCAAATTGAACATAGCTATGGAAGCCATGGCACATTCCCAATATCACCTCAAGAGGGTTGTTTTTATCTCGCTGAATGGAAGCTTTAGACTCTATATATATATATTACAAATACTGGTTGGTGGTTTCAACCCCTCTGAAAAATATTAGTCGGTTGGGATGATTATTCCCAATATAGGGAAAAATAAAAAATGTTCCAAACCACCAACCGGAATAGTATGTATGCCAATTTATTCTTCGGCAATCAAAGACGGCAACAAAAAAAGTTCATTTAGTTCGATGGTTTCAATGTTTTCCATATTTAAGGTCCTCATTTACTTTGAGATTTCCCAGCTAGCCATATTTGATAAAACTGGAGGGTCTGAACAATCACAATTTTTCCACTTTAACAAAAATAATCGAACATAACATTACATACCCATCAAATCTCCGACATAAATCTCAGCAAAATCTCCCATGATTCATGGACACGACTAAAGTAATTTATATAAATCCCATTGGATATCCCATACCAAAATATCCCATGTAAATAGCAAGAGATTGAAGTAGAATATGAATCCCACCAATCCGATCTAGGTCTGAAAATAGAACCCCAGCCATAACATCAAATTAAACCATGACTCGGGAATTCATCAAGTTTTACATCCTGGTTTTTGCTATCGATGGTTTTTTGAAATCTAAACCACCAATTTTTTTAGGGATGTTTTTTTTACAAAAACCCCAAGAAATTCATGGGATTTTTCGATTTTTCCATATCCCATCAATCTCAGGATTCCACCATCCCAGAGATCTGCCCATCAACGGTTCCCCACCTGCACCGAATTCCCCGTGTCTCCCTCTCCAGACGCCACGACCTGGGATCGGCAGATGGGAAGCCATGGGATGAAAAACTTCCACTTTGCCAGGATTAAATGGAATGAATTTGGATGAATTTTTATGATCATTTGGGGTGGAAACATCACTTGAAATGGATTGAAATGGCGTTCTTTCGGCTTTTTTGAACATCACTTGAAATGCTGGTCGAATGAATCATGGGATCTTCCATTTCAGGTGATGTCGAAGAAATATCTTGCGAAACCCGGTTCCAAGACTCCCTTAGGCATGGAATACGGACAGTTGGGGCCATGAGGGGAATACATGTGTAGTATATGCCAGTGAATGTGTTACATGGTCGGTTTTTGTGTTGAGCAGCACAATTTCAGGAAAAAATTGGTAGACGGCACCAGATTTTTGTACACCCAATCATCTGACCTTCCCAACCCAAGATGGGCTTCAGGGCAGATTTGAAGAAACACCTTGTACCCCAATTCATCCAACGGACAGCAAAAACCACCAGATGTCAACAACGAACACAGCCATGCCAGAGCAGCAGCAAGACACGGCCGGGATCCACACCAAAATGCCAAGCTCGCGGTTATCATCCTGGCTGAGAATTTCGATTGAGAACCTGGTGATTTTCGATGGAAAGATTGGCATTGCATTGCATGGTGATTTAATGGGTGATGTCATGGAACTAACATAGGGATAAACCACGATTTACCCTCCAGTAAACTAACATAGCTGTTGAAAATCACCATTTTTAGTGGGTAAATCAACTACCAAGGGCCATTTTCAATAGCTATGTTTGACATAACCAGAGGGTATCCCTGGTGATTTGACAGGAAAACCAGGCTTTTGAAGCACCAAACGCAGAACAAAAAGGACCCACCTGGGACAGCCAGAAGTAACCACTGGCCGAAAACGGCAGAAGGATTTTGCCATCCAAACTGCCTGTTGTGTTGATGTTTTACCATGTTTTACCCGCTTTAAGATGAAAAATGTCCCTCACATTTCAGGTGTTCGAGTTCATCGTTGCCTGCCTCCAAGATGGCATCTTGTGCAGTCTTAACCACCTGCAGCGTGCAGGTCACTCTGGAGCTTCTGAAAAAACGTGGTCTCAGAATATGGAACCCCCGCTAGACTAAAACTGTTTAGCATCATTTTCCGTATTAGGATTGCCATTTTTGGGGTACCCCTATATTTAAGACAAGCCCAAATGAGTATGGCAATTATGCATTGAAATACGCTATCTCCCCATGAAATTGTGCTTTAATGGTTGGTAAATTTCAGTCATTGGTCAAATTTTGGTCATTAAAAATTACCAGTTACTAACAGTCTAACCACAATCTGCTTGGCAGGTCAACATCATCATCAACAACATCATCATCAACAACACCAACAACAACACCATCAACAACACCATCAACAACAACAACAACAACAACAAACAACAACAACAACAACCACAACCACAACCACAACCACAACCACAACCACAACGACAACGACAACGACAACGACAACGACAACGACAACGACAACGACAACGACAACCACGACGACAACAACCACAACCACAACCACAACAACCACAACAACCACAACATCATCATCATCATCACCACTATCGAGTTGTCGATGATGTTCTCATTCCATTCCCCTAATGTTAGATGCCCGCAATACGGGACGCAAAAGATTTACATACATATACATATACAAGTAGATAGATACACATATCATACTATACTGTATGTTTGTGTATATTATATATATAGACATTGTATATATATAATATTAGGGAAGGTCATTATGGATGTTTGGTATCACGCCCTTGGGGGCAACCTTACTACACCTACGGTAGGTGATATATTTAAATGCATTTAACTAGATCCGAAAAAAAAAATAGACCTTAAAGGGCTAGTAAATCGCGAGTTCGAAACGCATTGGGTTTGATTATCCTATTCATACCTCGGTGCATTTACTTTTCTGTGAAAAAAGCGTCCGGTAACGTGCGAATTTCTGCCTGACGTCCGGATGCATTTTGCGCTTCCCAAAAAAAGCATCTGGGGTTTCCCTGTTTCCTCCAAAAGGGTAAATTCTTTCAGGGTGTTGAAAAAATCGACGCCACTTGGAGGTACTCGTGTGGCTCTCGTGAATATGATGAGTATCTCATGATATCTCATGCTTATCGTCACTCCTTTCATCATTTTTCTTAGTCCAATAAAGCCTCCACTATCTAAATCAAGATAAACATATCTACATATATCTACTAGGATGCACACCCGGAAAAATGCATTGGAGTGTGTGACTTGACTTGCCGCAGCGCGAGTGCCTCCACTTCAGAAGGAAGCCAGAACCTCAGCTGGTGGCGCTGGTGGAATCAATACCGTCCTTGGGAAAGATCCAATCTGGAACCGCTGGATGGCAAAATGATGTCTGGAAAATATCAACTCTGGGAAAATATCTGGTGGAATCAATACAACTGGTGTATTCTTTTTTGTGTTTGAAGTTTCAACCCTCCATGATTGTCCTCCGTTTTCCTGACCAGTACCAGGCCTAAACCATGGTAAACCTTCGTTCAATGGGCCATGGCTTCCATAGCAATGTGAAATTTCCAGAGTGGATCAAATTTCAACGGGATGTCGCCGAACGATTCGGGCAATGAACTTTTTTCTGCACGGCACATGTTGTTCAGGTTTCGAGGCCGAAATCCCATGGCACCCGGATTCTGGTACCCGAAAAAATAGCTGGTGCTGGATGTTTATTCCACGGTTAATAGGTAACTTAACCCATCCCCATTTAAAAATTTAGCTGACGCTTATGGCATGACTCATATCATGATTCACTGCTGCTATGTTGAAATTACCTCGGAGAAGCACTCAGCGTGCCATGCCATGCCGCCCCTGCAGACGCGAATCGATTCAGGGATTTGGGTGATGGGAACCCGGAATCCATCTCCAAAGCAGAATGCATCCCCCATCAAAACCCGATAAAGACTAGGATGAACCGTATGGGTAGGATGTATCTATCTAATTGTCTATCTAGCTATCTATCTACAGTCTCCATCTATCCATCTACCCAGCTGTCTAAACTAACCTAATCTCTAATCTAATCTAATCTAGTCAGCTAAAAAGTCGTATAATCAAAAATCCTGTCCAAGCTAACCCGCTTATCAACGTTGAATCTATGTCTATATGTCTATCCATGTAGCTATCTATCTAGCTCTTGCGGGAAAAAAGGGCTGGAAGTCTTGGGGCATCGCTGTGACGCCGGCCATGCTATGGTTGATTTACGTCATTCGTTCATTGGTTGTTCATTGTTTTTTTCACCATGGTTTCACGACTGTTTCTGCTTAGTGGCTTAGTCCTTGATTCACAATTTCTACCACTACTTAGTCCTTGAGGCACTTCACTTAGTCCATGATTTAGTGATTTACGTCACCAGGTGGTTTCATCCTATCCACTGTGTCACTTCGTCCTTTCTGTGGTACCTTGATGCCTTGATTGGCCCGATGTTCTCGGCTTCTCTGTTTCTGTGTTGGATTTCTGGATATATAAATGATTTGTATATAAATATACATACAGAGTTATTTAGGTATTATATATATATAACCATCACATAGCTATCATGTCTGGCACATTGATCCCCGTGTTTGCAGCTAGAATCCCTTTGTGTAAGGAATGTTTAAAGGAAACCATTGTTTCTTACCATAAACCCTTTTAAAAAAAAAAGTTCATATCCCATACATAAAATATCCCATTTTTGTTATTAACCACTACTGACAATTCGAAACCAGGCACTAACCAAATATGAGATGTTTTCCGTTTAAAGCAACCCTTACAACTAACAAAAACCCTGAAGCAAAACCCAGACCCAACATCTGAGCTGGCAATCTTCCTGAGAAGCCCCCATATGTATCTAATGTATGTATGAGCCCGGTCCCCGGATCGCCACACCCCCTCTCCCCCCAATGGTATGATCTCCCCGACTTCACTGCCCCAAACCCTTTTATGTGCAGCATCCGAGAGCCACAACCTCGCCACCGGACCCTGTCTAGCTGTATGTGCGCCACCTATAGAGTACCTCACACATGGCTTACCACTCATTGTATGCCTTCATGCTACATATTTGCGACATATAGACTATATACTCAAAGCGTACCTATGCATACCTGCATATCTATATAATCCTAAACACTGTATGCTTGAATGCAGTATGTACCTATATGTATGTGTATATATATATATATATATATACATATACATGTACATATACATATACATATACACATACACATACATACATATATATATATATATTTAATATGCTACCTGGATATAATACCCAACTAGTATTATATTGTACCTATCTGCAGTGTAGTATATACATTGGTCGTCCACTACCTGTATACTCCATACACCCTACATATACTACCTACACACGTTTCATAGCGCGCCTGTATACGACTCATTGGATCCGTATACTCCCGACTCCCGACTCAACTGGACATCAACCACCTACTGCACAAACACTGCCCATGTACTGTTGTTGTTCAAACCCCGGCCACAGAGAGGGAACCATTTGGCTGGGGAGGGGGGGTGTGGCGATCCCTGCTCATCTGCTCATCTATAAATATTTATATATATATATAATCATAGTTATATATATATATATGTTTATGTATATACATATATAATTTTGCAGTAACCAGTTGCCAACCAACTTACCCTTTGGTAATATGTTACAAAGCCATTGAAACTGGCAATTTAGTTCGTTGACTTACGGTTCTTCAAAAGGGTGATGTTCCAGAGCAAATTCTTAGTTTACCAGAGGGTATCCACTAATTGAACGAACAATGGCAAGACTTGTGACTGGTTGGTGGTTTGAACCCCTCTGAAAAATATTAGTCAGTTGGGATGATGACATTCCCAACTGAATGGAAAAATAAAATTCATGTTCCAAACCACCAACCAGACTATATCTTCTTCCAGTTTCTGGTCAGGACAAAATTTTCGGGACCGGTGATGCAAATGACCCGTAGCTGCTCCAGCACCATCTTTTCGGGGCCGGTGACGCCAGTGGTTGACCTGGACGGGCCGCAGCATCAAATGTGGAATCAGAGGACCGGATGGGAAAACCAAAAAGAAAAAATCAGAAATGGAAATAAATTCCATTCCATTCCATTTCTGATGTTAATCCGGAATAAATGGAAATGTGAAAAAACGGATTCCATTCCATTCTGCAGCTGAAAATCAGGTTTTTGTTTGGATTCCCCGATTCCCCTTTTAAAAACATCAGCTTTTCTGATGGGAAAATCGGAAAATCCCCTCTGATCCCCATTGGTGAGTTCAATCCCCATCTCCGTGCTTGCGACTCGCAACGGAAGAGTCATCAAATTGTGACTTTTGAAATTTTAGGGTTCAAAATAATTACAATATATATATATACATATATATACATATATATATACACATATATATATATATATATCATGTATTACAATGTTAGATGACATAAACATATAGATTCTCAATGGCCAACACCCCAACTTTAGGTTGAGGTACCAATGATTAACAATGTCTCGCTCATGACGGGGAGCATTCCAAACCTCCAAATTTCAAGTTTCAACACCCAGAAGATCCTTGTGTTCCGCAACATCGAATCGGTCAAAACCCCAAATATGGGGCAGCTGAATACTCAAATTGACGAAAATGACGAGCCTGAAACAAAGATTGCAACCCATGCCCAACGTTTTGGTGCAAAATTGGTGGATATCCCAATTATTTCAACGGGGAAAATAAATTTAAAGGTTTCCCCCATAGTAAAATGTTCAAGCAAATCAATATCATATTGTTAATTGTAATTACTAGTATGGCAATGATATCCCTATCTTATCCGTATTATAATATTCTCACCATATTCCATCAAGTCACATTATATTCCATCAAGTCACATTACACATCATGGTTATATTGCACTATAGATTGGTCACTGAAAAATGCTGTTGCACGATGTTGTTGTGGTTAGGTTAGATCCCTATCTGCATCCCTATCTGCATCCCTGTCTGCATTAGAGCAGCATCAAAAACCTGCTTGCGAACTGGTTCTACTTGTTTGTTCATAGCTATTCCAACAATGGAGTATGATCCCTTTGCAATGTTAGTAGAACCCCAATTGTGAATAAACCGATTGTCTTTTTTTTTGCACTGCTCAAATATTGTTTATGTTGTACACACAAAAATATAAACTATCCCCAATAGTAGCATCAATGGTTAGTAAAACCCATCCCCCAAAATGGTAGGTTTACTATGGTTTGTTATTCATTGTTATTCTGGCTGAAGTAATCTCTCCAGTGAATTAGCCATAGACCCTGCCAGGTAGGTTGGAAGACTCGTTTCCACTACAAATTGGTGATTTTCAGGGTCTATGTTAATTTGCCGGAGGGTAATAGTTCACCAACCTGAAAATAGTTGTTATCATATAAATCATATGGCCATTTAATGTGCGGATGATTCCCCCTAATCAACCACTAGAAAAACCATTCTTAACGATCATTAACCATTGTTAACCATTAATCATGGTAAATCTTTGGTAGCCCACACACAAATCATATCTTTTGCTTCTGGTGATTTTTCCATCTTTTTCGCTACCCAGTTGGGGATCTCCCAGTGACTCTCCGCCTACGGAGAACGCGCAGCTCCCGCTCCGGTCCGCGCGTCCGTTGCTTCCGTTGCTTCATCAGCGGCCTCGCAGTCGGGGAAGATCACCTGAGGTGGCGGAAAAAACAACGCACCCTTCCATGGTGATTTAATGGTGATTCATGAGATTTAACGGTGGTTAATTAATGGTGATTTACCCTCTCGTTTACATAACGAACATCAGCATTTTTTAATAGGTAAATCAACGAACTAAATGGGCCATTTTCAATAGCAAACATTTTTGGGGGTATCCCCAACAAGTCACCATAGTTGATCTTCGGAACATGGTTTGTAACATTGAAACAATGTCACCAATGGCTAAATATAATAAGTTTAGATCTACGGCTTATCCAACAAAAACATGACCCATTTACCACCAACAATAAACATTTATCCAACAAATCGTAAGTCGTAAGTTGTGTCAGTTGCCAGATGTTGTAACGTGTTGTAACGTGTTATAACATGTTGTAACGTGATATAACATGTTGTAACCCATTGCCCCAAGTGAAATCTCCGATTCAAGTCAAAATTCCAATTAAAATTGAAAGTCCTGCTCAAATTGAAACGTCCAGTTAAATCGTTTGGAATTCACATCTTCCAATTTAGCCAATTCACCAATAATCAAAATTCTAGACAATGAAAATGTTGCACACACGCGGGTCCAGTGAATTATGGGGATTCCATGGGTTATGGGCTTATCCCATCCCCATTCGGTCCCAAAGATGTGAATCATGTCCAAAGGGGGGCATCAGTTTCCCTGTTAAATGGTCACTTCGAAGGTATACCCCATTTTCATACACACGCCATGTAACAAATCCCAATTCTTAGTGATTACATCACCATGGTATCACCGAATTTTAATTGGTTTTTATTGCTGTTGTAACTCAAAATTCCACTAAATCCCCCAAAAAATCTCACTAAATCCCAGTAAAACCACTATAATTCCCATTAAAACCACAATAATCCCAATCAACCTCCTGAAAATCTCAACATCCTCACCGCGTCACCGCGTCCAGAAGCTCGTCGTGTGCTTCGGAAGGCACCTCCTCGCAGAGCTGCTCGGTCAAAGCGACGCCGATCCTGGGACCAGGTAGACATTTGGTGATGGGATCATTGTGTCTCTATATGATGTGTATAGATAGGTAGACAGACAGATAGACAGATAGACAGATAGATCGATAGAGAAATAGATATAGATAGAGATATAGATAGAGATATGGATAGAGATATAGATATGGAGATAGAGAAGAGATAGAGATAGATAGAGATAGAGACAGATAGATAGAGATAGCTAGATATAGATATAGATATAGAGATAGATTATTATCTATATCATGATATCTATACATCATGATCTTTATTTGTGTATAGATTATAGTTTTTGAATAACATGTGTATAACATGGATTTTCGTAATATGGATTTAATTTGATGAGTGTCATAATGATTATTGTTGAAAATTGTCATACAGGAAGAATGATTTGTTGGGAATGATTGCTGTAGACATTTTCTTACCTATACACATCAGTATATTTATGATTATATGGTTTAATTGAATGTTTTTTGTTTTGTCTTGTGAATTTTGTTGTTAATTATTGTCATTATTGAATGTTATTGTCATGTTATAAGGTGTAGTCGATTCTATATACATATCTTATGATTGACATGCTTGGATATATACGGCATATCTTGCAAAATCCAATATATATATATGGAGATGTTCGAAAATATTCCCATCATCAGTTATCATCAATCATCATCACCACCATCATCATAAAAATGACCCCAAAACAGATGACACAACGAAGTCATCTGATGCGACGTCGCAATCAAACCCAGCGGCGTCCGCAAGCGGCCTCTTTCCGCGCCCTGACGTGCTCGTTGGATGTAACCTTGGGGGGTTGGGATTCTGGGCATTGGTGAACCATGTCTTCCTCTATATCCAGTTAAAATGAAACACCCCTGTGAAAAAGTCGGTGTAGTCTGATAGTACAAAAATTCCGACGAAAATCATCGGAATAGATCGGAATAGATCGGAATCAAAAGATACACATATGGAAATGAGCACCGCTGAATGACTTGACACCTTGGGCGACGTGTTTCAGACACCAGAAGCCACCGGTTCTTTGGGATGGGACTGAAAAGACCAAATTTGGGCCAAGGGTAAATTGAAATATCGATCAGCGTTCACAGCAAAAAATCAGGCAAAAAATCATCAAGATTCATCAAAATTCTTCCAATCCATCCATTTTCTCATCCATTTTCCAGTCAAAGTTCCAGTCGCCCCGGCCATTTTCCGTCCGTTTACGGCCCCTTTTTTTGTCCACCAGGACGCGATCATAGAAGCCCATCCCTTGTCCGCAGCGTCGCCTCCAGAAATCTCGGTCAAGTTAAGGAAATGTCAATATTAATGGATACATCATCCAGAAACAACGGTATATCATGGATATATATATATATATATATGGCCCATTAATGGATCTATAAATATATGGTATAATGGATATATATATATATGCAAATATCAATGGCCCATTCAGGTACTTAAAATTGAGGTACGTGTTTACGTAGCATTTTTCAGGCCATATGAATGGTGGGGATATTCCCTGAAAAATAGGCCTGAAACATAGACCGTATATATAGTAGGTACCTCCAATAAATCGGAACCTCATTTTTTGCCATTGAAAATACTAGTTGTAGATAATGTCCAGCATGATTCAAGAGATTTCCAGCATATTGTTCCACATAATATGTTCAACATGTACCCGGTTGGTGGTGTTGACCCATCCCCAAAAAAATATGTGAAAATCCCAATGAGATTTCAGCTGGGAGTGCAAGCACCTTCGATTTTTCACATGTTTCATCCATCTTCATCCCATGTCTATCATCTGAAACGCACATACTTTGCCGACTAAAATGAAGGCGCCATGTCCGCCATGTCCAGTCTACCATGCTCAGTTGGTCCTGCATCGTTGAGCTATTTTGAATGTATAGGCAATATAGGCCTGTGGTTTGAGAATGCTGGGGATGTCATTTCGTTGCTCATCACTTGTCACCCGTCACCTGGACAGTCATAGTTTACCACTACGTGATCCGAAGCTAGGCATGATAGTCCCACACTGTGGGATCAAAAGACATTCATGTTTGTCTTACTTGGGCTTAGTAGGGAATGAGGGAATTTTCGGGAATGATCCACAATAACTATCAATAATAATCCCAGCACCCCCCATTCCCATCCATTCCCTGCGTTTAGCACCAGTAAGGTTAAATTGCCATGTTCATGGTTTCTTTTCTGGCAAAATTCACAATCTCACTTGCCTACATCCTTACCTGGTTTGATCATCATTCCAGATCAAATTCCGAAGAATCTCTGCTTTCGACTCCGTGTTTCTTCACATCAACAAAAAGAAAACCAACCATTTCAGTAGATGAGATGTCCGATATTTCCAGAGTGTGTAGAAAACCAACCATTTGTAGATCATACCCCAATAATTCGATGGTAAGAATCGCAACTGATCTGTGATCCCCCGAAACTCTTGGAAGATTTTGGGGTACCGACATAGATGTCCTGCCAAAAAAAACGAAAAGCCATTTAAGTTGTCGTCCCATAGATCAAAAAAAGAGGAAATACGTATATACATAATATATATATATATAATATATATATATATATAATTAATCAAAAAAAAATAGATATATGTTTTTCCGACCAAAAAATGGCAGAAACCATCGACCCACATTGCGCCTGGCCAGATCCAGCGCCACAGCGGGGACCAGCAGCAGATCCAAGTCCCAGGGCTCAATACGGGGGAAGCTCTCCTTTGAAAAATGGAAAAAAAATTGATGTTTTATAGTGGTGTCATGGAATTTATGATGGTGTCAATGGGATTTATAGTGGTTTTAATGGGATTTACAGTGGTCTTAATGGGATTTATAGTGGTTTTAATGGGATTTATAGTGGTTTTAATGGGATTTATAGTGGTTTTAATGGGATTTATAGTGGTTCATGGGATTTATGATGGTTTCAATTGGATTTATAGTGGTTTTAATGGGATTTATAATGGTGTCAATGGGATTTATAGTGGTTTCAATGGGATTTATAGTGGTTTTAATGGGATTTATAATGGTTTTAATGGGATTTATAATTGTTTTAATGGGATTTATATCGATTTTAATGGGATTTATAGTATTTATTGTGGCTTTAATGGGATTTATAGTGGTTTTAATGTGATTTATAGTTGTTTTAATGGGATTTATAGTTGGGATTTATAGTTGTTATAATGGGATTTATAGTGGTTTCATGGGACTTATGATGGTTTCAATGGGATTTATAGTGGTTTTAATGGGATTTATAGTGGTTCATGGGATTTATGATGGTTTCAATTGGATTTATACTGGGTTCATGGGATTTATTATGGTTTTAATGGGATTTATAGTGGTTTTAATGGGATTTATAATGGTTTCAATGGGATTTATAGTGGTTTTAATTTGATTTTTAGTGGTTTCAATGGGATTTATAGTGGTTTAAATGGGATTTATAGTGTTTGCATGGGATTTATAGTGGTTTTAAGGGGATTTGTATCGATTTTAATGGGATTTATAGTATTTATAGTGGTTTTAATGGGATTTATAGTGGTTTTAATGTGATTTATAGTGGTTTCAATGGGATTTATAGTGGTTTTAATTGGATTTATTTACAGTTGTTTTCATGGAATTCATAGTGGTTTCATGGGATTTATAGTGGTTTAATGGGATTGAAATGGGATATTCATTGAAATTTGCAGTGGTTTAATGGGATTTCATGGGATATTCATGGGATAATTGATGTGTTTTTTTTGTGGTTTAATGGAAGATTGATTGGATGTTGATGGGATTTTGATGGTCATTTTTAAGTGGGAATATGGGGATTTAACGGGATATATACGGGATATATATGGGATTTTTAATGTGGTTTTAATGGGAAGTTCATGGATGTTTTTTGGACTTTGTCATGTGATTTTAATTTTAACCATTTTGTTGGATTTTAACGGGATTTTACTGTATTATCATGGGAGATCATGTTTCATGGTGAAAATAATGGGTTTAAAAAAAAAAATCTGAGTTGTCCCATGGGGTAAAACACCATTACAAAACATGATTCATGATTAATTTAATGAGATCTTATCATGATTTAGGATGTTGAAAAAGTGGTTTTAACATGTTTTAACATCGTTTAAATGTCTAAAATATGTCTCTGCGATAGATGATGCGATAGATGATACTTGGGAATCACCCCCCGGAAAATGGGATGGGTTGAAGCCATGGGAGGTTTTATTCTATTCATCCAGTTCCCTTCAATTCTGAAGAATATTCCAATATAATTCAACAAGGGATAGTTGAACTAATATTTCAGGAATTTTGGGTGGTTGGGATTTATGTAATACAATGCAGAATGTAAGCCAGTTAGGTTAGTTGAACGAACAGTGAAGATCAGTAAAGTTAAGTGGGGTTGACTCACATTCTAAGTTTTTAAGGATGATTGAACAAAGGGATCTACACCAGCGACAATGAAAAATCATCCTGTAACAAAAAGATCATGGGGATGCTGTCATGATCAGTCATGGGTGTGTGTATAATTATTACAATCATGCGTAGTGGCTTAACTAACATCTTACTTTCTATTTAGTGAAGATAAGGGTGTTGATGATGCGAGTTAGATACAATCATTGCAAGTAATAAGGGGTTCACATGGTTTAACCATCTAACCCATCGTCAAGAGGGAAGTGAATCCTAAATTCGCAACAAGGTCCAGGTGAAGGATATTAACAAGCAAAAGTTGGGATGCGAACTAGTTAGACAGTCAACAAGAATAAGTGGATATCATTCTCCTATTTTCACCATGTTTTTTTGTTCACAACTGAGGTTTCCAAAAATTATCCAGATTGTTGGCTGTTGATACTGAGTGGGTGAAGTTTTACTTCGTTGGTTCTAAAAACCGATCCCAGCTGAAAACCCGACTGTTCCTGCTTGAGGGCGCCAACCAGCTCATTTATCTGGGGAAATTATAAGAATTCACTGCCTGAAAAGTTCGGCTATTTTAGGATAGTTACCCATATTTCTAAACCATCATTCCAGTTGCGTCAGAGTGAGGTCGTTTACAGTTCATCCAAATATAGCGATCTGTCACTATTGAATGCTATAGATTAACCATGATTGACCATTAATTTGACTACTCATTAAAATATGGTTAAATTAACCATTAGTTAATTAACAATGATTGTCATAGTAGTGAATCATTAAACCAAAAACTATTATTAACCATTAAGTTAAAATTAACTATCAACCATAGTATTAATATATCAACTATAGTGAATAATAGTGTAATTAACTATGTTTAATAGTTAACATCACTATTAAAATCACGAAATTAACTATATCAACTATGGTTAAACCATTAACTATCAACTATTTAAAATCACTCTGAAAAAATCAGCCGACACACCGAGTTGTGGCGAATCGACACGCCGAGTCACTGGGGGCTCCGGGATTTTCCATTTCGAAAGGGGCAAGGTGGACCTGAGCAGTTCGGCGCTTCTCTCGGAGTTCCGATTTGGTCAGCCAAAGGTTTAATAATAAGAAGAACCATTGGTTTAACTATTATTAACTATTATTAACTATCATAAAAACTATTATTAACCATCGTTCTTATTTGGTTAGCATGATTATAGTGACATAGGTTAACCCAATTTTTGACCGATGGTTAATAATAGTGTTCATGATAGTGAATAATAGTTATAGTTAATATGTTTGACCATCATTGGTTAACCATCATTAAATAACAATATATTATAATCATCATAGTTGATATTTACTATAGTGATTAGTTAATGAAAATCAATGATGGTTAATAATGGTTAATGATGGTTGATGATGGTTCACACTATTATAATAGTTAATGATAGTTGACCATCATTGCTATTATTAATGGTTATTTTTCATGATAGTTAATGATTATAGTGTTGGTTATTTGCTATTTTTTGATTAGTTAATGATAGTTTATGATGGTTATTTACCATGATTCATGGTTCACAATGGTCAAGGATGGTGAAAATAATAGTTTTGCTAGTGGTTGATAGTGGCTAATCATGGTTATACAATAATGGTTAACATAATTATAACATATGGATTTGTCTGAAAATAGGCTACCCCAAAATTTAGCGGATATGATGATTATTGCGTATCATGTCAATCATGTCCCTTTTTTGTATGGCCATATTTCATACGGTCTACACCCGTTGTCAGACAGACCCATATGGTAAAATGAGGTTTGAAACCGGGGGCTATTTTCAAACAAACCCACACTGGGTTCTCACCCAAGACCAGTTTACCCAAAGGACCCTGTGGTGGTCACTGTCGTGTAGATTCAAAACCATATCTGGTTGGTGGTATACCTACCCCTCTGAAAAATATGAAAGTCAGTTGGGATCATTATTCCCAATATATGGAAAAATAACAAATGTTCCAAGCCAGAAATCAGATACTGTTTTGTTTGGTAGTAAACCAAATAGGGGTTTCTTAAACTGGAGGTATCCCTACTCACCATCCAGGTCATTAGACCAGGACTTAGCTTCGAAAGCTATGGTCACGTGTGGGGATCCCCCATTTTAAGAAACCCCCAAATCTTAAATCATCAATTTTGATGGGCTTGTACTTTTGACCCGACCCATCTCGATTTTCTGACCTGTAAGTGATGCTAATGATAGTGATGGGATTGACCGCAAGAGGAGGAGAGGATGAGGGTTGATCCCCATGGCGAGGGAAATTTCCTATGAAAACCTCCATTTCTGTTGTTTTCCGAGCAGGCCACCATGGCCATGGCCGAAGGATTTCTATCTTCGCATCCTTGGTGGTTTTCCAGAAATACAGCTCCATTCTTATCAAATCCACATTGAAAAAGGCTTTGGAAGTTTAGCACAAGTGGTACTTCGCACCAGTTGGCCATGCCAGATCATACCTCAAACTTATTACTGTACTGAAATTCAGCGGCGAGGGGCACTTCCTCCATATTTTTCACCTCGTAGAACTCCATCAAAGCCTTGTGGCCAGGTTTCACAACATCAGCCATTTGCAGGTCCCAAAGATGCTCGTGGGGATCAAAACCGAAATGCTCCATGGTGCTGGAATATGCACACCAACATGTGACTCGTCATTTTTGGGGTTAAATGTTGGTGAATATTCAATACATGTAGCATATTTGAAACATTTTGAAACCATCACCCGGCCATCTCCAACACAAACGTCATCTGCAACACAAAATTCCGGCTCAAAATCTTCGCCCATGTTGTTATTGTCCCACCTGTCAACCCTCACGACCACATCCTCTGTGTTTTTTTTGGAGCAGCTTCAACCCTAGACATGCCAGTCGATTGGGATAATACTTCCTGTTAGGGGTTGTTGAAGATCAGAAGTGATTCAAACCAGCAACCCGTCAAATATCTAGACATGTCATGGTGTATCCAAATTTCCTGCTGGGTAAATTCGGATCATCGTTCATGTCCTTGCTACCCCTAAAACATCAATTACTTTACTTCGTGTGATCCCCACCATGACATTTATACATTTTGTTACTGGCAAATCTTCTGGCATTCTATCTGACATATTTTCTGGCATTCGATCTGGCATTCTATCTGGCATATCTTCTGGCATTCTACCTGGCATATCTTCTGGCAGATGTTCTGGCATATCTTCTGGCAGATGTTCTGGCATATCTTCTGGCATATCTTCTGGCATATGTTCTGGCATATCTTCTGGCATTCCATCTGGCATTCTATCTGGCATATCTTCTGGCAAATCTTCTGGCATTCTACTATCTGGCATATCTTCTAACATTCTATCTGGCATATCTTCTGGCACTCTATGTGGCATATCTTTTGGCGTGGATACTCGCGGTTGAGGTCCGGCAGGGAACACTGGGCGTGGATGGTCGTGGTTGAGGTCCGGCAGGGAACACTGGGCGTGGATGGTCGTGGTTGAGGTCCGGCAGGGAACACTGGGCGTGGATGGTCGTGGTTGAGGTCCGGCAGGGCACACTGGGCGTGGATGGTCGTGGTTGAGGTCCGGCAGGGAACACTGGGCGTGGATGGTCGTGGTTGAGGTCCGACAGAGAACACTGTGGATCGCGAGTCGCAGTTGAGCAGGAGGACGAGGAGGACAACGAGAGGAGGAGGACAACGAGAGGAGGAGGAGAGGAGAGGAGGAGGAGGAGGAGGACCAGGCAACTGACATAAAATCTAACAACCCTCACCTGGCAGGTGGGGAAAAAAAGTCTGGCTTTTTTGTCGCGTGTTTTCCCCATTGTTTAACTGCCATAACTTGGGGTCTACTCCATTCCTGATCTTATAAACCATGTCATGGAATCCCAAATTCTTGTCGGCATCTGTTTTGACCCATGCCGAAAAAAAATCGTTTTGTAAATCCATCGTAAAATTTGGTTTGTTCGTTCAAAATCAATGGTGGCCAGCCATCGATTTCCCAAATCACCATCTGTTTTTAGTGGGCTTTTCCATTGATATGGTAATTTGATGGTAATTTCCATCGTCTACAAATGATGTTACCTGTATCCCCAAATCCCATGGTCTTCCCAGCATCAGGCTTCGAAAGTTGGCCAATCCACGGGGTGATTCCAATGGTTGGTTCCCTCAAAAGTCGCCGGGTGAAAATCCATGGGGAAATGGAAAAATGGAGGCTTTATTTCTGGTTCTATGGGAAAATCATATATTCCCCGGGAATATATGGAGATACCCTCTGGAAATTTGCTACATAGCTTATTGAAAATTGCCTATTTAGTTCGTTCGTTGATGAAACCCGAACTTAGTTCGATGGTGATTTTCCAGTTCGCTGTCAGTTCGTTTACCTATCCGGGTATCCTCGTGGAAAAAAATCTTCGAGCAGAGCATCTTCGTCTTCCGTCGCTTTCAGCACGCGGGGACAGTAGACCCGCTTGCCCTGCTGGGCATAGCTGGGCTCGGGGAAAAAAACAAAACTGTAACTGGTCGATTTGTTTTCCTAGGAGACACCCTATGACTTGCTGATTAAATAAGATACCCTCTGGTAATTTAACATAGCTAATTATGGAAAATCACCATTTTCAATGGGTAAATCCACTATTTCTATGGCCATGTTCAATAGCTATGTTAAATTACCAGAGGGTATCTTTTATGTTGCGGGGTTGCCCCTTTAAAAAAAATGTGGATCATTGTGGATGCCATTCTTGATGCCATTCTTCCAGAGATTCCCGAATGACAAGAGCGATTTGGGTTTGTCTGAAAATGGGGCATGTCTCAAAATGAGTGCTTTATAGTAACCCCCATTTTTCAGGGGCAGAACAGAAAAATTTGCCACAAAAAGTACTCCGCAGGATGTTACAGAATCGTATCTTTTAGTAGTGGGATTACTAGAATCAGGAACATGATGATTATCCAGTGGATACATTTGCTTTCGAAAATCCTTCTGGTGTCCGTGAATTTCAGAGTTCTCCATCCAATCTTCGCTGGGAAAATCATCATCGGATTCGAGGGATCCATTTTGGGGGGAAAATCTGAAGCAGAAACCATGGTTTTTACCATTAAATATATAAGGTGTTCCTGTATTTTTGTTCCCTTAAACCAATCCAGTGGCGATTGGTACATTGAATTGGTTTACCCTCTGGTAAACGTTTACATAACTATGGAATATCACCACTTTTAATAGGTAAATCAACTATTTCTATGGCCATTTTCAATAGCTATGTTTGACACAACCAGAGGGTATATGAAGGTGATCTTCCCATTTCTTCCCGTCATTTCTGTTGCTTGCAATGGTTAAATCCACCTATCGGAATCGATGAAAGGTCAGCTCTCGCAGCTTAATGTGCTTGGAAAAAAGGGAGGGTCCATAGTCATGGGGGTACCCCAATAGCTGGATGGTTTATAATGGAAAGTCCTTTTTTTACTTGGATGATTTGGGGGAACTCTAATCTTAGGAAAATAGTTAATTATGTGGAATCATGTTTCAAGTGAAACATTGATTGACATCCTCCATCTTTGTTGCTCCATGACACTGATCAGGCGCTGAAAACCTGGAAG